GTGTGTGTGTCTGTGAGTGTCTGTGTGCTTCTGTGTGTGTGTCTGTGAGTGACAGTGTGTGTTTGTGAGTGAGTGACTGTCTGTGTGTCTGTGAGTGATTGTATGAGTGTGTGTGCATGTGAGTGTATGAGTGTGTCTGTCAGTGTATGATGAGTGTATTTGTCAGTGTATGAGTGTGTGTCTGTCAAATCAGTGAGAGTATGTTTGTCATTGAGTCTGTGTGTGACTATCAGTGTGTCTGTCAATGAGTGTCAATCAGTGTGGGTCTGTCAGTGTCAATGAATGAGTGTGTGTCAGATCAATGAGTCTGTGTCTGTCAGTGACGTCTGTGTGTTTGTCATTGAGTGTGTGACTCAGTGTGTACAGAGTGTATGTCAGATCAATGAGTCTGTGTCTGTCAGTGACGTCTGTGTGTTTCTCATTGAATGTGTGACTGTCAGTGTGTACAGAGTGTAGTGGAGCAGAGCGCGGTACAGGAGCTTCTGTTTCCAGTACCTGGCCAGACTGACAGCAGGTGCTCACAGAGAGAGCACTCCCTGTCAGTCCGTCCGGGTACAGAAAACTGAAGCTCCTTTAGGGGATCTGCTCCGCTCGGCAATGCAACAATAGAGGTAGGAGGCACACACCAGGAAGTGTGACCACTAAAGGGGTGTGGGGTGCACCAAGGGACAGGGAGGGAATGGGAGAGAAACACCAAGAGACAGGGAAAAAAGGGGGGAGGGGGAAAGGGGGGAGGGGAGAAGAACACTAAGGGACAGGGAACAGAAGGGACCACTAATGGTCGGGGAGGGGAGAGGGGCTGGTTAAGAGACACATAGGTGAAGATTTGGGGGGGGCGGAAAAATGCATCTTCGCCTATGTACCTAAAAATCCAAGCACCGGCCCTGCCGGGCAGTGTGGAGGCAGTGGCTGTCATCAGCATGGGACGGGGATGTGTCCACGGAATCGGGTCGTGCGGAGAGGACGCTCGTGTTGCTGGATGACTTGGTCAGGAGAGGTAGGTCCTGCGCTGCAGCGGAGAAGGCGTTGGCTGCCCTGTCGTTCCTGTTTCGCTTTATGGGCTGGCAGGATGTTACTAAGGAATATGGGATTCAGAGGGTGGTCAAGGGTTGGCGGCTGCGGCGTCGCCCGGATGGTCGTCGCCCAATTTCGGCTGAAATGTTGCGACGGATTATTTTAGTACTACCGACGGTCTGTGGTTCGGAGTACGTATCGAAGCTGTTTCGCGTGGCCTTCTCGGTCTGCTTTTTTGGTGCCTTTCATATCGGCGAATTGGTGGCCCCGAGCAAGGGGAAGGCCTCGCCGTTGGCATTGTCGGATGTGCGGTGGTCTACTTCCACCATCGACATTTTTGTGCGGCGATCTAAGACGGACCAGGCGGCCCGGGGGGCCTGGGTTCGTTTGGGGGCCACGAGGGACGAAGTTTGTCCGGTTGGGGCCTTCCAAGATTTTCTGGAGGTGCGCCCGGAGCGGGGAGGCCCTTTGTTAGCTCACGTGGACGGGTCTCCTCTAACCCGGTATCAGTTCTCGGCGATGTTGAAGAGAGCATTGGTGGAGAGTGGCATGGATGGTCACGGGTTTTCGGCCCATTCCTTTCGGATCGGGGCGGCTACCCAGGCGAGTGTATTGGGGTACTCGGCTGCGGGAATTCAACGGATTGGAAGATGGAGGTCGGGGCGTTTTAAGTCTTATGTCCGACCTCATATGCTGTAACTCTCTTCTCGTTGTAGGTGGTCGGCCCCAGTACGTGTGGATTATAGGGCATTCCTATGTGTACTGGGCAGCTAGGCGAGCTGAAAGCCGCTCCTATGGACGGAATTTGGGGTTTTCGTTGGACGTGGCCAGAGTAAGGTGGAAGGGCATTAGGGGCCTCCGGTGGCAGCAGATTTATCCAGAGTTCGTGGCCCTGCGTAAGTTTGTGTCGGGGCCGGTGGTGGCGGTGGTCCACGTGGGCGGTAACGACTTAGGGGTATCCAGGACTGTGGACCTTCTCCACGCGATTCGGCACGACTTGGCAAGGTGCATGGCGCTCTTTCCAGACATGACCTTGGTTTGGTCGGAGGTGGTTTCCAGGCCGTGCTGGCGCGCGCTTCCGCACTCTCGCGGTTTGGAGAAGAGCCGGCGCAAGCTGAACATCGCAATGGGGAAATTTGTACGGCGGCTAGGTGGGGCGGTCATCCGACACGTGGAGCTGGAAGGAGAAAACCAGGACTTGATGAGAAAGGATGGGGTCCACTTAAATGAAATAGGGTTAGACATCCTGAACACGGGTTTGCAGGGTGGGATTGAGGCTGCGCTGTCGGCGGGGGGCGCGATGGCGGCAGGAGGCGTGAAGGGAAGTCGTCATCGCGGTGGCGGGAGTCCTGGCCAGCGCAGGCAGAAGTGGTGAAGTTGCCGAGGAGGCTTGGGGAGTCGCAGCCTGTTGGGAGCTGATGGCGGAGGCAGGCTGCTCAGGACTCATGGTTTGTGGGGATAGACCTGTCTGTTGGGCAATCACCCCAACAGCTGACAGTATGATTATGTTGCTGGCATGGAAAGAATAAATAAAGCTGTGGCCGATGCCCTTACCCAACTTAATTACGGTCTCTGTGTGTCATTGGGGAAAGGGGGGCATCGGGTGGGTGGTACAGACATCTAGACAGCAGTCAAGACACCTCCCTGGACTGACAAGGAAGGGGGGACATGACTGCGGCTAGGTTAAGGAGTCTTGAAGGAGTAGTGGAAGGGAGGGGTATAGATGGATACATAGTTGCTAAGATGGAAGACAGTTATAAGCACAGTTAGGGGAGGGAACTTACCAGTCAGCTTTTGGAAGTGCAGGGATCCTGACTTTCCCGCCCTCCCGCCCCTAGGACATTTGGTTATACAGGAATGTGGGTTTGGTTTTCTGGTGCCTGTTGTTGGTTGTTTTTTCTTGTTTTTGTCACAGCACACGGGAGTCCTGGCCAGCGCAGGCAGAAGTGGTGAAGTTGCCGAGGAGGCTTGGGGAGTCGCAGCCTGTTGGGAGCTGATGGCGGAGGCAGGCTGCTCAGGACTCATGGTTTGTGGGGATAGACCTGTCTGTTGGGCAATCACCCCAACAGCTGACAGTATGATTATGTTGCTGGCATGGAAAGAATAAATAAAGCTGTGGCCGATGCCCTTACCCAACTTAATTACGGTCTCTGTGTGTCATTGGGGAAAGGGGGGCATCGGGTGGGTGGTACAGACATCTAGACAGCAGTCATGTCCGATGCAATGCTTCTCAGAAAATGAATGGATTGGAACTAGGCATGCGTGGCCCAACACCACCCTCTTTAAATCAAATGTTGCTATCAGCAGCATTAGACTGGAAGATCTACTTTTGCTCTGTCCTGGAGCGGGAAGCTAGATGTGTATTTAACGCTTCCATGTACAAAACTGCAATGTTTTGCATTGAAAGGTTAAAATAACAGAACCACTGCAACCAGACCAGTTCATTAAGATGGTGGCCCTTTAATGAAAACAAATTCACTCTTTTATAAGACTGTATCATCCTTAATGAATGATACATAAGAGGGATTTTTTCTAATGTTGTTTTGGTCAGGCGTGACTTAAAATTAAGGTTGGGTTTTGGTGGTACATGGTTGCACAACTGATGGTCATATTGTTAGAGCACCTGTTGAATGAACACCCGCCTGGTTTAACCAGAGCTCACTGCTTGCAAATGATTTATTTTAAAACCTCTCCAGTACCCACGCCAACGTAACTATGCCACTCAGATGTGCATAATTATTAGGCAACTTCCTTTCCTTTGGCAAAATGGTTCAAAAGAAGGACTTGACAGGCTCAGAAAAGTCAAAAATAGTGAGATATCTTGCAGAGGGATGCAGCACTCTTAAAATTGCAAAGCTTCTGAAGCGTGATCATCGAACAATCAAGCGTTTCATTCAAAATAGTCAACAGGGTCGCAAGAAGCGTGTGGAAAAACCAAGGCGCAAAATAACTGCCCATGAACTGAGAAAAGTCAAGCGTGCAGCTGCCACGATGCCACTTGCCACCAGTTTGGCCATATTTCAGAGCTGCAACATCACTGGAGTGCCCAAAAGCACAAGGTGTGCAATACTCAGAGACATGGCCAAGGTAAGAAAGGCTGAAAGACGACCACCACTGAACAAGACACACAAGCTGAAACGTCAAGACTGGGCCAAGAAATATCTCAAGACTGATTTTTCTAAGGTTTTATGGACTGATGAAATGAGAGTGAGTCTTGATGGGCCAGATGGATGGGCCCGTGGCTGGATTGGTAAAGGGCAGAGAGCTCCAGTCCGACTCAGACGCCAGCAAGGTGGAGGTGGAGTACTGGTTTGGGCTGGTATCATCAAAGATGAGCTTGTGGGGCCTTTTCGGGTTGAGGATGGAGTCAAGCTCAACTCCCAGTCCTACTGCCAGTTCCTGGAAGACACCTTCTTGAAGCAGTGGTACAGGAAGAAGTCTGCATCCTTCAAGAAAAACATGATTTTCATGCAGGACAATGCTCCATCACACGCGTCCAAGTACTCCACAGCGTGGCTGGCAAGAAAGGGTATAAAAGAAGAAAATCTAATGACATGGCCTCCTTGTTCACCTGATCTGAACCCCATTGAGAACCTGTGGTCCATCATCAAATGTGAGATTTACAAGGAGGGAAAACAGTACACCTCTCTGAACAGTGTCTGGGAGGCTGTGGTTGCTGCTGCACGCAATGTTGATGGTGAACAGATCAAAACACTGACAGAATCCATGGATGGCAGGCTTTTGAGTGTCCTTGCAAAGAAAGGTGGCTATATTGGTCACTGATTTGTTTTTGTTTTGTTTTTGAATGTCAGAAATGTATATTTGTGAATGTTGAGATGTTATATTGGTTTCACTGGTAATAATAAATAATTGAAATGGGTATATATTTGTTTTTTGTTAAGTTGCCTAATAATTATGCACAGTAATAGTCACCTGCACACACAGATATCCCCCTAACATAGCTAAAACTAAAAACAAACTAAAAACTACTTCCAAAAATATTCAGCTTTGATATTAATGAGTTTTTTGGGTTCATTGAGAACATGGTTGTTGTTCAATAATAAAATTAATCCTCAAAAATACAACTTGCCTAATAATTCTGCACTCCCTGTAGAGTACAAATAGATAAATCAGTGATTATTAACCCTTGGTTGGGGATGTGATAATGCCTTAACAGGCTGGAACAAATACATTATATTGATTAGTCCCCAGACAACTGTCCGTAACAAACTGGCTACTGTAACAGCATGGCCGTGGAGAGCACTCTGACTGGGAAAAGTCTAATAAAGGGGATTTTCTAAATATATTTCAATATTAACTATATATTACTGAATCTAAAGCAGAACGGCCACATGTGAGATTTTGGCATAACTGAATAACTAGGTTAGTTTTTTAGAAATCTCACCTGTTTCCATTCAAGCAGTTAACATTCCATACCAGGTACATTGGGCATGGCACCCCATTACCCCATTATGTCCTAATATTAATATGTATTGATATTGTACAGCGCTACGGAATCTGATGGTGCCATATAAATAATAAAATAATAATAATATGCTAATATTGAAGTATGAACTTCTACTTTAGCATAGCTGGACAGACCAGAAAGGCCACTTGTGCCCTTGACAGTGGTAATGGTGCTTAGAGTATCTCTTTAATAACGGGTTACGAAGCTAAAGAATATCCTTAATTTGGTTCTCGGACAAAAAGAAAAAAGAACAAAAAAAAAGAAACGTTAAGAATCTCTGTGCTAAATACCACTGAAGCACTAGGAATGGAATGAAGTTTGAGGCCCTCTATAGGAGGAGAAGCAGAATGCAAGCTGAAAGATGAACCCATAATAGCAGAATTTTGTTTTTTTTTAGTTTTCAGACATCACTTGCATCACAAGTGGCACACATAGTGTCTGGATATGTCATCATGCTGCTGCATTATCAAGCATAATCAAAAATATAAAGAAAAGGAATACAGACAAAGCAGGAAAAAATATATATATAAAAATATTAACCCATCTCCCACCCCCGCCTTCACCTATTTAGCCGTCATCAGCAATTATATTATGAAGATGGTGTCAAACTATGTATACCTTCAGGTTCTTCTATAACCGTGGCACCAAAACTGACGTATCTTATATTATCCCTCCAGGTTTGCCTGGGCAGTGAAAAATCCCTATCAGAGCAGATTGATTGATCTGATTTTTGGCCGCTTCCCTGCTTATTAACTTTAGATTTTTCCAAAGGTACTTTAGTTATTGAAATATCGTAAAAAAGCCTAAAAGTGTTGTTTCTTAGGGATATTGGATTATCAAAAACAAAAGAAAATCAGAAGAAAAAGAAAAAAAAAACATTTTAAAATTGTCCAACACAATTTACCGCGAGATGACCGCGGATTTTGTCCAGTATAGTATTATCTTCTGAGATAATTTAGATGGCCAGTCTTCTTTTAGTGCAAGACTAGATTGATTATTATAGCTCTAATTTTTGTTTCCAAAAACCCCAAATTTGATAAGATTTAGATTCACATCCCTTTGTAATACTAATATTTCTTTCCATTCTTAATTGAAACTGTAATTGGTTCATAACTTCCTTCCATCTAGGGCTTAAGGGAGTCTTCCAGTTACGTGCTATTAAAATTCTAACCGCAAGCAAACAATG